AAAAAAATACAATAAAAGTGTAATTGCTTAAAAAAAAAAAAAAAAAAAATTAGCAGGGAAGAATTTTGTTCACAAATTAAGACATTTAAAATATCAGTTGACAGACACCACAGCAAACCAGAGCACACATGCTACAGTGACCACAAAAATATAGCAGAGAATACCAACACATAAAATAAATACAAGTTTAAATGTTTCTTAGAAAGTGGCTTTCTTCAATCTTTCAGAAAACTAGACCTCTTACCAAAATGTTCATCTAATTTGGTTTTTGGCGGCTCCCAAGGTGGCCTGGCTGCTTTAGCGACTGTCTGACGCTTTCCAAGTTCCTCTTCAAACTTGTCGTATAAATCGCGTAGTTTGCTAGTGCCAACCACTGTGGAGTCACCCTGTGAAGCAAATTGAGAAGTAATTGAACAGCTAGGCTTTAGTTTACTTGCGGTTTGTGGACATATATTCCACAATCCATAGCAAGCAATATAGAACTCTGTGAAATAGGATTTCATGGGCACTGCTAAATCATTTCTTATCCACTCTATTTAAGTGACACAAACACTGTGGAGTAAAGCTCCAGGGTTCCCGTATCCATCATTTGACAAAAAAAAACTAAAGTAACAAGTTACACCAGAGATGACCTTATTTTTTCACTGAGGCTTTACACTCCCAATGGCCAGTGGAGATCATGATTCTCTATCAAGATGTGCACCGCTGAACTTTGCTAACAGTCAAGCTCTATTCGGTGTTTAAACCTAACGGGACACTCCAGATACCATAAACACTGATTTATTGCAGTGGTTTTTGTTCAGAGAATATATACAGGTTTTTCTTTGTTTGTTTGTCAAGCAGTTTTCAATTGGTTTGATACAGTGCAGAAGAAATTACTGTACCCAATCTCACTTCCTCATTGTCCATCCAAATGTCCATACAGAGAGCACTCCATGCACAAAAGAGGCTAGAAACTCTGAAGTATAGAATGATTCTGGTGCTCTGAGCCAATCTTTTGGTGTTAATATAACAGAGGCAAGTTAAAAAGATTGTGGTGATTGTCCAGATATAAAGCACCTTATACCACAGTGTTCTCAGTCGCTTACTGAAAGGTTGACTAGAGCAATACAAACATTTGGAGAGACACAGAGGAAGTGAGATATTATCAGTATTACATTGCAGGTTTAGGGGTGGGTTTTCATGTACAGGGTGTTTCTGACAGGTTTTTTTTTTTATCATCAATAAAGTGTACATGATTAATGCATTTGCAGCTGAAACGTATGCGTTTTTTATTATGCCTCAGAGCCCTCAGTGGCATTAATAAAAATATACCTCGTAAAGCCTGCTCTCCATATTTCAGTTTTTTATTATCAATATGATTGAAAAAAATTTTTTAGCCAGTGATGACTGACAATTTAGCCCTCGTGAGAAGAGATTAACCTCATGGGTGTGCTATAGACCCTGCAGGTTTGCAATTGCAAGTAACCTTTAGGTCTGCCTTGTAACATAGGATTCGATGTCTGTATTTGCTTTCTCTTTAACCATGGCAAAACCTCAACATAAAGAAAAGAAAAATAGTACCTACATGCACTATTATATCTATGACACTCACCACTTGGTCCATTGGGTCACTGGAGTAGTAACTTTCAGAATGGGTGCATCGAACCCAAACAGGCTTAAGCAATTCTTCATCTTCCTCTTCATTTCTGTCCAATGGGCTTTCATCCATAAACTCTTTGTCTTTTATAGCAGTATATCCCTTTTCTTTTGCTGAAGATGGGCTCTCAGGGGCACATTCTTTGTCCTCCTCACCCCACCTGGCTCTCTTATGACCCCTGCCAGTTGATGGACTTATGAAGAAAATTTTAAGAAATTATTAATGGAAATAGGTTACATTTAATGCTTTTATTTAAACATATGCAGATCTGATTAAATAATAAATGAAAATGAAATAAGTTTTTTTTTTACATGCGACATACACGAGAAAAGGCAGCTGATGACTTCTCTTTGTAGACTTAATTAAGTCTAAAGCTAAACTGTTTTGGCTAAGTATAGAACAAACAAAACTTAGAATTTAGATCCTTGTTTGGTACACTGGATAAGAGTTCAAGAATTGTGGGTACCAAATTCACAAAATCATTTAAAATGTATTGATCCTTGTGCAGGGATAGACCAAATGCGTGTAAAACAAGATGAAATTAGTATATCCTATGTAAGTGATTGCCACAATTTAAATGTTCAGAAAGTATTTGGGTGCAGTGTACCAGACATAGTTGACGCGATACAAGCAGAAGGCACTTTTGTTGGTTGTTTTAAAGCTAAATTGTGTTGAATGACAAACACACTGTTTTCAAGCACTGCACATTATGTAAATAAATAGGAAAAACAATCTAAAACTATAGGTATATGTAGTTTTTTTTCATTTTTTTTTTTTTATTTCATACAACATTGTTCATGCCAAGAAAGTGTACCACCTGCAAGCTGGACAATGCTTATGTGGAAGCATGCACTAGCCCCATTGGCTTTTCTTTTTGTTTTATACCTGTTCCCCTATTTTAACTTCTATATAAGAAGCAATCTCCTTGGAAATTAATGGAAGGATACTGTTGACTGCTCCTCAAATTAAATTACCTTAATCATTTAACACCTTTATACATGTTCCCTTTGTTCTGATTTATCCGTCATGGTATGAGAGAACAAACCTACTTTAATTATGTTGTATGAAGCCGATCACACAAGTTAAAATTTAGCCCATTATTTTGAAACATTACAGAACAAAAATATAATTTTAGCACTAGCATCTACCTTTTTGGTCTCTTTCTGTAGCTTCTTTCTGGAGAAGGTGACCTCCGACTTTCTCGATGTCTGTGTCTTTCCCTTTAAATATAAATAAAAACTTGTAAAAAAAAGTCTGCATGGTAAAGTGATCAATGCATTCACTATATGTGTACAGCCTGGACTCAAATAAAATGCCATAAATTTACTACAAGAGGGAGGTGTATTCTTCTTACCACATATGGAAATTAAGCAAAGTTTAACCCTGGTCTACAATATTGTGCCCTTGTAAATAATTTTACAATCTATTGTTTTTACTTTAAGTGCTGTAATAATCACTAAACATCCATTTCTAAAATTTTATTTTAGAACCTCCATTTTTATTATCAGGTTTTTAATGTGTTACCATCACCATTAGGAAAGATGCTTGAGTTTAAAATAGATTATCAATACATTAACATTTGTATACTGTTTAAGTCTTATGCATGTGACAATCCATGTGAACATAAGCTCCTCTCTACTGATTACATCTTAGGACAAATACCGAACACACTCCCATGATGCTTTGCTCTCCTAATTTGGAGTTGTAGTAGTTAATAATTTGGGATCTAACTTTTGACCACCCTTGATCATACAGTTATAGTACAGAATGACTCTGTGGGATAATAAATGAAAGCACACCGTTCAATGACTGACACATTCGCTTTATATTAGTAGGTCAGAGACAAAACAAGCTGACTACATGCAGAGACTATTTGACATGATCACTTAGCTCTGCATGAAATAACAAAACCCAAAAAAATTGAACATGTTCGCTTTAAAATTTATGGTAGTCTTTTTTTACAATTGCTTGTTGCAGACACATTTTTAGGAACATATGCACAATACAACTTTAATGGATTTGATAGGTTTTGACCTTATTAATAAGCTGAAGATTGCATTTTCAAATCTTTTATAGGTTTGCACCAAATCCCCCTCTCCCCCAAAATGTTGCACCAGAAGCCACTCATTAGTCATGACCCCCTTAGAGTATCTATACAATTCAGCCCTAACAGCACTGATTGAGCAGCTTTTAATTGACAACTTGGCTCTAGACAGTCAGAAAAACTACAAAAACTTAGTGATGTTATATATGGCCAGGTATATATATATATATATTCTCTATATCTATATATCTATCTCTGGGTTTCCTATTCTCCTAATGCAGTTTCTTTGTAGTCCAGATCACTGAGTGCTGTCAAGAGATGAGCTGTGTGCATACACTTAAAAAGGAAGTATTTTTCTGTAAGTGAGGGGGTGTGGCTAAGGAGGCAGGCTTATAGTGCAGTTTCTGCAAAACACTATATTTTTGTGTGCAAAAACTATAAAGATATGAGCATGCAAAAAAAATGCAACATATTAATGAAGACATCCCCTATTAAATGCATTAAAGTTCTTTTGGAGCCGTGAGTGCCCCTGTAAGTTATCATGTAAGTAGTTAAACCAATAAAATGGCCAGTTATTGTTAAAAAGGATTTATAACAACATGCAATTAAGTATTACAGGTATGGATTCCTTTCACCTGAATTGGTTACTGTAATCACAATTTTGTCTTATGTTTTTATGTGAAAACTTGTAATGTATACTGCCTTACCGGTTTCGATCATAGCTTGAGTGCCGTGGAGGGGTCCTGTTGTGAGATGGAGACTTGCTATACTCATAATCTGATCGGTGCCGACTGCTATCTTGCCTTCTTATGCGTTCTGGGCTTCTTCCTCTGTCTCTTCTATCTCCATGTTTTTCAGAACGGTGCCTCTCATTATGACTGTACTCTCTGTGACGGTGATCTTCATAGTGTTTACCTCTATCTGGTGTTCTATGACCGCTTTGTGGCTTGTCTGTCATGTAATGGCTGTGGTTAGTCTGCCCATAGTGGCTGGGTGATTGATAAGACGACAAACTTGTCTGGTAGCTGGTAAAGTTAGAAGCTGCAGGAGTTGGTTGAGGTGGTGGAGGCACAGGTGGAGGAAATGGTTGTGGAGGGTATCCTGGATACGTTGCTTGATATCCAACATGAGGAACAGGTGGAGGCATAATGGGTGGGGGTGGCATTATTGGAGGCATCCCATAAGGGTAAGTGCCTTGTACAGTAGGTGGTGCCGTAGTTATCGGTGTACCTGTGGCAGGTATAGGGGGAGGAGGGAAACAAGGTGGCACAGGATAACCAGGTCTTACTGAGTAAGGAGGTCTTGGTGGATATTGGTTTACGGAATTTTGTGTTGGGGGCGTAAAAGGAGGTGGATAAGACATGTAGTCCGGTCTAGGGGGTACATAGCTTGAATTGGGGAGATTAGAGAATGGTGGAGGAGGCACATTGGGTGGATTATAGTACTGCACTGATGTCTGCTGCGGTTGAGTGGTTGTAGAATTTTGTGGTGTATACATCGGTATGGGAGTGACAGAGCCTTGTGGGGCTCCTTGCACTGGTTGTACAGACATTCTCTGGAAATACAAAAAAAAATTAAAAAAAAAATTATTATTCAAAATACAGTCTACAAATCAAAGTAAGATCATCAGCAGTAAAACAGCTTTGTAAAACAAAATGACACTGCCCTTCATTCACTGCATAATATAAGATACTCTCTTCATCTAAAAAAAATAAAAAATAAATATATGTTTTCCCATTACTTAGTACAGTTACAGTAATACTGAGAGGCGCATCCTACCTATTTAGCCAAGACCTTCACCTATACTTTCAGCACAAAAAAAAAGAAAAATAATGTTTATTGTGGCAGCAAACCAATATGTAATACAGGAGGATGATTAAAGAAAATGCAGTTAAAGCAAATATGACAGGGCCTTTATACAAATTTACATTACTAGCAATGACAGGGGGGAATAAAAAAATTACAAAAAAAGAGGAGTTGGTGGTAGACATAAAATCCATATGTGGTGACTGAGCTTTCATCGTTCAATAAAATAGTCAAACTGTGTAGTATTGTATGAAACTTTATTTGTCTTTGCTGGGGACAGAAAGGGTGACATATTCCAGGGGCTTAAAGTATAAGAGAAGACAATGTTGAACAACCAAGTATGGAAGGACGGCTTCCTTATAACAGTGTTTCTCAACTATTTATGGCCAGGTAACCTTGTAGTACACGTAACTCTGCCTCGAGAAAGTAATTTCTATTGCTTTGCATTTTAAATATGTAGACACTGATTTACATTAATCCTATATTGTAGAAAAACACCTTATTAAAAAGGTAGTAAAGACTATTATAAAAATAAACATGACAATGTAAATATTGTGTATGTAAGTATGAGTACATGAACGATTAATCTGAAGTAGAACAGTCACAAAATTAAAATATAATGCACACAATAGTTACACACAGAAGACAATGACACACACACTTACACATAGTGAACACTGCACACATTTACACACAGAGGGGACACACACTGACAGACACAAACATTCTATCACAGATTGTTATTATTATAGTATTTTTGTATATAAGTCCACCCAGCCTCTCACTCCAGGGAGAGCTGTAGTGGATTATTTTCCTAGAGTCCAGTGTGGGGCTTGTGTAATCCTCATAGTCTTCCTGCAGTGTTCCCTTGCACGATGTTTAGTGATGCCGGAGCCAGACTAACAGCATAGCCTGGCTCTCTGCATCATCTCAGGGCTCGCGAGAAAGCAGTGCTGGAAGATCATAAAGAGTACAACTCCCTAACTGCCTCTCTCTCCATTCTCCCCCAGACAGCCACATCCTGGGGAACGCCAAGGTGGCCAGCCAGCCACCTCTTGGCATATCCCTGCCTGTGTTGCACGTACCAGGGGTTGAGAAACTAGGACTTACAAGATTCAGGCAGAAAAGAGGCAGGATAATATGATGCATGTGGCACTTTGAGACAACTTAAAAGGACACTTCAGGCACCCAGACCACTTCTGCCCATTGGAGTGGTCTGGGTGCCAACTCTCACTACTTAACCCTGCAACTGTAATTATTGCAGTTTTCATAAACTGCAATAATTACATTGCAGAGTTAACTCCTCCTCTAGTGGTTGTCTACTAGACAGCCACTAGAGGGCACTTCCTGCTTCATAGCACAGGTTTTGTGAGGACCTGTGTGTGAGGACCTCCAGCGTTGCTCAATTCCCCATAGGAAAGCATTTTCAATGCTTTCCCATGGAGAGCTCTAATGCGCATTTGCAGCATTGCCGCGCATGCACATTAGGTCTCCTCAGCCAGCGGGCGGGATCCACCGCCTAGGGACATTGGTGGGGGACTCAGGTAAGTAACTGAAGGGGTTTTCACCCCTTCAGCAACCGGGGATGGGTGGTGGGAGGGAGAGGGGACCAGCAGTGCCAGGAAAACAGATTGTTTTCCTGGCACTGGAGAGTCCCTTTAAGGAGAGAACTCAGGTGGTAACAAAAGACAGAAGTAATCGATCATCTAATAACTTCACAGACATCTAGACATCATTGGGTTACCAGTCTAGCAGTTGTGAAGGCAATCAAAAAGCCACTTTTATAAATTGCCTTCACAGCTGCTAGACGGGTAATCCAATATGATCCAGTATCAAAAACCTATAGACACTTAATAGACAGATTCCAACTGAGCCCTAGTGAGTCATCACGAGCAAGTTTCAAGTCCATCCATTCACTGGTGTAGGCACAACTTGCAAGTTGCCCTCATCTTTTTGTCCTCACAAGACTCTGGTCAAGTTATAAAACATATTCCGAATAGCAATTTGTAGACCTTGAGAGAGGACAGAAAACCGCTTTTAGATCTTTTCACATTTTTGTAGTAACTTCTTTCCTTCTGAATAAAGGAGTGTCAATTATGTTCCTGAGTAGATGAGTGTGTCATTTATGTTCTTATATATGCCTTTAATAATCAGTTACTACCATTCAGATTCCACAATGAGCAAGGTAGCATGGATTGTCATGAAGAATGTCCACACTGGCTCAATTATGATTACATTGGTCTTGCCCATGATTATGTTTCTGAATAACTCTTGGGACAAAAGGCTGAGGTAAAAATACAAAACCACATTTCACGTGTCAAGTCTCAATAGTGGCTTCCTATGTTCTATAGGATTCTGTTCAAAGGTCATGTGCCTACTTACAAAGCTCTCCATTACTGTGCCCGTGCTTACATCTCCTCCCTCATTAGCAGATATTGTCCAGCTTGGCCTCTTTTGTCCATTGACGCCCTGTTACAGTCCCTTTCCTTATGGAATGCCCTCCTACGACATCCAATTTTTTTAACTCTCTGCACTTCTTCACAAAATCACTAAAACATACTTCTTCAGCTCTCCCCTTAACTCCCCATGCCCTTCAACCTTCCTCTACTGTGCTACTTTCTCAGAAATTCACCTCCCATGGACGGGTAAATTTAGATCACCTGATTGCCTTACTAGATGTAGAGATTCCTTACCAGGTATTGCCCAAAGAGGCATTTGCTGATAGCTAGCTACCATCCAAGAGTACTGTATGTCAAAATTTAAAAAAACTAGAAGTCTTTACAGAGTGAAGATATCTGCATGTATGGAAACATGAAATAAATTACACACGAGTCATCATATGTCCCAGACCCCCCAAAAAACTCCAATACATAGGGCAAAAGTCTGCATTTATCAGCTGAACATTTTCTGAATTTCAGCTCATCATTTCTGAGCAACTGAAGTACTCGGGTTCATATTAATACAGTGTACAATGTAGGCAAGTAGGAGTCATGTTACTGCCATGATCAACACAGAAAATAATGCCCACCTCAAGACACTCTATAATAACATTGCCTTTGAGAAGGATGTTTCAGGCATCTCTACTACCTTAGCACAAATGCTTTATTTCTGCATTATTTTTTTACTCCACAGTGGATGAAGCCAGAACTTACATGCATACTACTAAATATTCTGTCAGATCCCTCCCTGCTGTTACAAGGAACCAAAGTTTTCACATACAACAAATCTAAAACATACATATTCCCTCAACTTTAAAGGGAAATTATGGTGTCTGGAAAACAAAGTTGTTTTCCTGCAACAATAGCATCCTAGAATTGATATTTACAAAATTAAAACATTCACAAACAATCTGAATTTAACAAAACATAGGCAAAAAGATTGTGACTGGAGATATTTCGTTTTTTTTTTCCCCTATAGATTCAATTAGCAAAAATTCAATGCTCTGTGAATATGCCTGTCAAACTCCATGGCTCTAGGCAACTGTCCCCATCTGAACTTATTTTGTGTATCAGGCCAAGTAGATTGGATTAGTACCATGTACAAATAAACAGGATTCATGTATGCCTTCTTTACCTACTAATTTTACAATTCATTTGGATAACCCTATGGATTGTTCCATATATTTTCTGTATTGTGGCTTTAGACTATTTATGCAGAATGTTCATTTCCCTATTGCTTTCCACTATCAGGCTGCTCTACAACTGATTGACAACCACTGGCAGAATTCAAATTCAACAATGAAAGAATTATTCCGGACAGCAATGTGTTCAGCTGCAGGTTTATAATTGGGAGGGGGTATGGTTTATGGTGCTTGTAGTGTCTCTTTTAATGTTTCACACATGTAAAGTCAATAAACATACTATTAACTTAAAGGACCACTATAGGCACCCAAACCACTTCAGCTTAATGAAGTGGTCTGGGTGCCAGGTCCAGCTAGGCTTAACCCATTCTTTTATAAACATAGCAGTTTCAGAGAAACTGCTATGTTTATGAATGGGTTAAGCCTTCCCCCAATTCCTCTAGTGGCTGTCTCATTGTTAGCCGCTAGAGGCGCTTGCGTGCTTCACGCAAGCGTCCATAGGAAAGCATTGATAATGCTTTCCTATGTGACTGGCTGAATGCGCGCGCAGCTCTTGCCGCGCGTGCGCATTCAGCCGCATGGGAGGAGAAGAGGAGGATCGGAGGAGGAGAGCTCCCCTCCCAGCGCTGGAAAAAGGTAAGTTTTTACCCCTTTCCCCCTTCCAGAGCCGGGTGGGAGGGGGACCCTGATAGTGGGGGCACCTTCAGGGCACTATAGTGGTCCTTTAAAGAAGCTGCACTTGCACAAGTCTCAACAGCAGCTTGATCCCTCCAGGACCAACCATGATCCTTGCATTCTGTGCTTAGAGTCATATTGTGCCATTTTGCTAACAATATCCCTTCATTAGCTTTCCAGCAGAGGGAAAAATAAGTTTAAAAAAAAAAAAAAAAAAACAGCACTATTACATGAAAGGTACATTACGATAGCTAAGCAATGCCTATTTCAGGTGTAGGCAACCTTCAGCACTCCTAAATCTCCCATGATAACTTGCCATCATTACAGGTGTAAAAGCATTAAGGGAGATGCAGTGCAGAACATCTAGAGTGCAGAATGTTGCATACCTCTCTATTCCATAGAGCAGTATCAGATCTACTCTTTATGTTAAGAGGAACTTTATCACACGTCAATTGTCACAGGGAGCCAGTGGCAATGTATGAAAAATTTATATTATATATATATATATATATATACACACACACACACATACATACATACATACCCCCCCCCCCACCCCCCACAGATGGGGACCAGAGAACTCCCCCACACATTAACTGGGAGAATTAAACGAACATAAAATAAATATATATATAACGTATAAAAGAGAGCAAATTCATGCTATTTATATAGCACCATGCTCCAACACCCACTATGTCCAATTATAGTAAATATAGTGTACTCACCGCTCAGTCAACACGCTCAAATATAGGGCTCCGGAAACTATTGCCAAGACCCGCCCACATTCTCTGACCCCAGACTGGATCACGTGACATCCATTTTTTGAGCTAGCGACTGGTCTAAATTAACATCCATCATCCTGCCTCCTTCTGGGACTGAATGGTGGAGCCAATGGGGAACAGAGAAACAGACACACACTGTTTATATTGCAGGACTGGCAGTAACATAGCAGCCACATTAGTTCTGGGCAAATTATGAACTAGATATTGAAAATATCTTTAAATGATTGTTATAAGAAACCATGTAATGATTGTTCCCAAAATATATCTGTCTGAGTAACAGGTAACTTTGGCACTCTGCTTTATTGGAGCACTGGTAGCAGCAAGATTGCCAATGAATTGTCACATTGGGCTGATAGCAATCACAGCTGTGTTTTAATGCTATGCAGGAGTCTCAGTTTGAGAAGGTATGAAAATATGTACAAGATTTCTAATCAAGTGAGAACAGGTATAAAAATTCAGGGACTTACGTAGCCCCTCAATCTTTTATGAAACTACAATTTACTTGTTACACGAAGAGCTCTAAGACTGGCAAGAATCATGGAAATCCTAGTTGCACAACAGCTGGAGTTTCCATCAACAAAAATGGCGGCAGAGACTTCTTTCCCAGGTAGCGGTAGCTGATGCACGTGGGTAACAGGTCTACCTATCGACCAATCAGTGTGCGTGGTCTGTGCGATCAGAGAGAAGGAGCTGGCTGTAGCTGTGCGTTCTGTGTTTGATACACAACGTTCTGTAGCATTCTAAAGGGTGCTAAATAAAGTGTCTAGCTGTACACTCCGGGCTTCCCGGTATACATATCAAGATGAGCAGCGCCACCAAGCTATGTCAACGTGTTAGGAAATACAACGATCTGCCCGTCTGGGTTGTGGAAGATCACCATGATGTATGTACATTTTGTATGATGCCTACATTCACCCCAAGTGTCTTTATGTAGAAGTGCTACATTGTTAATGTGTCTGCGTGTGTGAAAGAGCTCCACAACACTAATATTCACTGTTGTATTACTCCAACCACCTTGATCACTTCAGTGATTTAAAGTGGTCATAGTGGTAGGAGTCAGTATATGTCCCTTCCCCGTGTGCCAGCCCATAGACAGCTGTGGGTCCAAGCTGAGATAAACAAAATAGACTGTTCAGGAACTGAATTTGGCAGTGTAAAAGAAATACCCATCAGTGTACAGCCCCAAGCAGAACTATTTACATCCCACGAACTCACACAAGTAAACTAAGTAAATAGACCTGCTCAGTAAGAAGGGGACCCCAGGTAGATTAGATAACCAGTGTCATCCTCAGTTACCTAGTGGCACTATGACTTGGGCCAAGACGCCAGCTGGCAGGGGGCATGTGGATAGCTGTCAAGGGCGATCAGAGCTCCCTGAGACTCCCCAATAATGCCCTATGTGGCCACCACTTTTTACCCCCACCACCCAAAACAGCACCCCATCTAGAAAAAAAAACCTTGAAAGCTTATCTTAGAATTTTGTAAACATGGCCAGATCAGCCATCCTCTGCAAAGTCCTTGTCTGCCTAATGCCATTCTCTGGGAAGGTGCTGAATTTGCAGAGTCTTTATCTGTAACCAGTCCCTTCATTATAACATCCACCTACGAGGCAGCTCAGAGGGAGATCTTAAGGCTCGTCTGTTGGGCCTTTTGTGCCTCTTAGACCCAGACATACCATAGGGCCGATGGAAGGTTGAAGTGTAACAGCGGTGAGACATAATCCTGCGGCTCCACTATTTTGAGATTTCCTTGTGGGCCCCAGGAATACTGAGCAGCATTATCCAGCTGTGCATCTTGGACGTAAAAACCCAAGGGCAGAGCACAGAATATTTGATAGAGTCCTAACCGCAGCATCGGAGGAAAAGGATTTAGGAGTGATTATTTCTGATGACTTAAAGGTAGGCAGACAATGTAATAGAGCAGCAGGAAATGCAAGCAGAATGCTTGGTTGTATAGGGAGAGGTATTAGCAGTAGAAAGAGCTCATCCCATTGTACAGAACAATGGTGAGACCTCACTTGGAGTATTGTACGCAGTACTGGAGACTGTATCTCCAGAAGGATATTGATACTTTTAGAGAGAGTTCAGAGAAGGGCTACTAAACTGGTTCATGGATTGCAGGATAAAACTTATAAGGAAAGGCTAAAGGATCTTAACATGTATAGCTTGGAGGAGAGACGAGACCGGGGGTATATGATAGAAACATTTAAATACATAAAGGGAATCAACAGAGTAAAGGAGGAGACTATATTTACAAGAAGGAGAACTACCACAACAAGAGGACATAGTCTTAAATTAGAGGGACAAAGGTTTCAAAATAATATCAGGAAGTATTACTTTACTGAGAGGGTAGTGGATGCATGGAATAGCCTTCCAGCTGAAATGGTAGAGGTTAACACAGTAAAAGAGTTTAAAGGACCACTATAGTGCCAGGAAAACAAAATACCCGATAATGCCATATGTGGCCACCACTTTTTACCCCCACCACCCAAAACAGCACCCCAACTTGTTTTCCTGGCACTATAGTGCCCTGAGGGTACCCCCACCCTCAGGGTCCCACTCCTGCCGGGCTGAAGGGGGGAGAAGGGGGTTAAACACTCACCTTTCTCCAGCGCTGGGCTCCCTTGGCGCTGGGGACTCTCCTTCGGTCGTCATTGGCGTAATGCGCATGCACGGCAAGAGGACGCTGGCGTCTTCTCACTGTGAAAATCACAGTGAGAAGCGCCTCTAGCGGCTGTCAATGAGACAGCCACTAGAGGCTGGATTAACCCATATGTAAACATAGCAGTTTCTCTGAAAACATATTCTCTGAAACTGCTATGTTTACAGTAGGCAGGGTTAATCCTAGATGGACCTGGCACCCAGACCACTTCATTAAGCTGAAGTGGTCTGTGTGCCTATAGTGGTCATTTAAGCATGTGTGGGATAGGCATAAGGCTATCCTAACTATAAGATAAGGCCAGGGACTAATGAAAGTATTTAGAAAATTGGGCAGACTACATGGGCCAAATGGTTCTTATCTGCCGTCACATTCTATGTTTTTTATGCCAGAGCTGCAACCTTTTTGGCAGTTCGATGTTAAGATTGAGGCATCACCATTGTCTTCTCTTTGTGGAATGCCATGATTTTGAACTGGTGTCAACTGGTCTTTAGCAGATCCGTGTGAGGCTTCGACTCCCTCAGTAGAGTGGCCTGGCAAATGTCAGAGAATAGCTGGAAAATGCTGCTCAGTATTCCTGGCGCACGTAAGGAAATCTCAAAATAGTGGAGCCGCAGTATTATGTCTCAAGGCTGCTACACTTCAACGTTCCAAACAGCGTGCTGAAAAGCTTTGTGTGAAGAATGTCTTACAATGGCAGCAGACAAGGGAACTGCCGGTTTTGCATGCTGTTTTTAGAAATACCAATGAAAACATGCATAATTAAATGCATGCAAGTTTTATTTGAGGCATATCTACTAAACAGTGGTATTTATTTATTGTTTGAGTAGTTGGATGTCCCTTTAATAATTATAAACTAAACAAATTTGTGTTAGTGTCCTTTCAGTCTCCTTTATGGTTGAATTTGCCTCTTTGCATGGTTCCATCACACTTTTTTCTTCTTTTTGTTTTTTTAACATTTCTTTTCAAGGAACCCACATCTTTAGGTTTGCAACCCACTGTTACATTGAAATATGCTGGACACTAAAATAAAGTCCCTAATATATCTTTATTTGACATTTCCAGGTGTAGCATGGTTGGAGGCAATAATGGCTCAGTAAATCACCGAATCCTGCTTAATCCCCCCCTACTTTTTTTTTTTAATGTGCTCAATTAACCAAATGGTTATGCCTCATTCTTTCATACTGTTTCTCTCAATGGGATCCTTTTGATAGGTTGAGAGCATCAACTGCCGATCTCAGCTGATCAGTTGCTGTCTGTCTAACCCTACCTCATGCTGCATTGCATAGAGGAATGGAAGATGGAAGGTATAAATGCTGAGCGCTGGATCCCCAACCAATTGGTTTAAAGGAACACTAGGCACCATAATCATTTCATCTCACTGAATTGGTTATGACACCTGTAGTTAACTGTTGCTGCCTCTGACTGGCATGTTGTACTGTTTTTTGGCAATTTAACACTAAATAAGTGTTCTGGCTACCCACCGTCCATCCTGTAGTGGAGGTTAAGCTAAGGCAGAGATTACAAACTTCCTTCTGGCTATATCGATTCATACCCGCAGTTAGCATTATGATAGGCTGAAAACAGTCACCTGACACACTCGGCTATCCCCAGTTACCCATTGCTACTCAGGCTAATGTTTCCTCATAAGACCAAGCAGCTCAGAGGGATGGGCTGCAGGAGACTCTCATATAGCATAAAAACTATTTTACCCTGAATGGAAGGAGACTCCAAACACTATAACCACCTTTATGAGATAAAGCAGTTATAGTGCCCCTTTAAGTCTTAAAGGTAAGAAGGTGACATGACTGTTCATTTAACTCTCACTATATGCATATTGGCATGTCGCCTCCTCAATGCAGTATTATGGATTGAATGTGGGTTCACTTCAAATATGTACAGAAAATAACGCATTTTGTATGTATATGTACGTACAGTATATGCTTTTATTAAATTCCTTTGGGCTATTGAACTGCCAAACGAAAGTAGTTTAGAATATTGTAGACACATTGTTATATATAATCAAGATATTGACATGCATCATCTTCTTTATCGAGGGAGACATTCCTTATTTATAAACATTGTCTATCTCTACTGCTACGTCGGATGTCTGATGTGTCTAATGGAATGAAACATGCCAGTTGTGGATTGATCTTCACTCTCTTTCACCCCAATCTTCTCTGCAGGTTCTGCCCTTTATCTATCGAGCTATTGGATCGAAACATCTGCCGAGCAGTAACATCAGCTTTATTCACTTTGATTCCCACCCAGATCTCCTGATACCTGTGAACATGACTGCAGACACTGTATTCGACAAGGAAGCTCTGTTTAGGTATAATTCTTTGCGTAAATATATGTGACCGCTATGTCAGACAACACGTGGTTTTATTACAGAAAGGTTGACAAAAGCTATGTTATTTTGGTTCACTATTCAAGTAAGTTGTTAAAATGAAATAATAATGAGCTACATATCTTCAATAGATACGTCTAAAGTTATTGACACAATAGATAGCAGTACTACATTAGGAAAACACACGGTACATGTACCCCCAGGGGTACAATTCAGTGCCTCTGGGCGTGTGCTAAAAAATGGTAATGGCCGTGGTGCGGATGCAATGCATGGACCGGAAATCGCAGGGTGACGGTTCATCAGGTGGCGCATGCACTTAGTGTTACCTGATGGACATGTGCCACGAGGGGCCATTATGCGCAGTGGCTGTTTAATGGCGTAACTGGTCCCTTCTAATGTGCAGGGAAATCAATCAGCACTTCTTCATAGAGATGGACTGAATCAATGCATCTCTGTGAGGAAAATTCTGCGTCCCCATGCAGAGCGTGGAAATGCTGAACGGCAGTGCTGCCTACTGTGCAGCACTGAGCCAGGAAGCACC